GAGGATGTTTAAAACATGTATCCATTGTCACTGTTGTTCGCTCACACTTGGCATAATTACATGCCACTTTCACCTGCTGAGGACATCTCAGTCATCAAAAAAAAAGCCATAATTTCTGATCTGCTGACACACACAATGAGATTTTTAACATTGGTGCCTATGCAATGTGAATATTATTAGATCCATCCCTATCACCTATTCCCAGATTCTGACAAACAGAGGCTAGGGTCACCATTCCTGCCCATCCTGGCTAATAGCCATTGATGGACCTAACCTCCATGAATGTATCTAGCTCTTTTTTGGAACCCTGTTAAAGTCCTGGTCTTCACAACTTCCTCTGGCAAGGAGTTCCACAGGTTGACTGTGCATGATGTAGAAAAACTTCTTTTTATTTTAAACCTGCTACCTATTAATTTCATTTGGTGGCCCCTAGTTCTTGTGTACTAAATTTTCCTGTTTTTTCTGAATGTTCCCATTTTCTGTGCTGACAAGTCTGCTCTACGCCGCCTCCCTGTTGACTAAGAAACCTTCAGATGTTTGTGTTGACCTACCAGCCAAAGCATTCAATTATGACTCACCAGCCATCCCATGTTCTAAAGATATCAACTACTTCTGGGTAGTGTTCCCTGTAAGCTGGGTGCTTGTGTGGCTGCTCAAAAGAAATGCCAGTGCTGCCCAGCTGATGGCCAGGAGAGCTCCTGAGATGGGGGTGACTGTCATAAGGGTTCCATCCCCACCATGTTTGCATTTCTATTGGTGGTGCACGGTCACACATACTTTGGTGTGTGTAAAAATGTAGTCCGCACATGGATGGAAAACATTAGAAGGCTGATTGCTTCTGGGGAAAATTCTGCTTTACTGCCACACACACAGAATTCCTGTCCCCCCCCCCAGATTTTTTTTTCTCTTAAGAAAATACATTGACAGAGAGATGCTGATGTTATGACTTTTTCCCACCAGAGGGTGCTGTGGTACCAGAACAGAGGACAGCCAGCAGTTAACAGGGAGAGCACAGAAGCAGGGACCTGTGATAGAAATGTAGCCGTGTTAGTCTGGTGTAGCTGAAGCAAAATACAGGACTATGTAGCACTTTAAAGACTAACAAGATGGTTTATTAGGTGATGAGTTTTCGTGGGCCCGACCCACTTCCTCAGATCAAATAGTGGAAGAAAATAGTCACAACCATATATACCTAAGGATACAATTAAAAAAAATGAACACCTATGAAAAGGACAGCTCAGAAACTGCTGCAAAAGAGGGAGAGGGCTGGCATACTGACACTGACTCTGAGCCTGTAACTGGATGGTCTAAGGAATTGTGAAAAGAGGCAAGTTGGGAAGTAAAAGACTGTTTTCACCTGGGCACAAAAAGTAGCACCCATCCTCTCTCTCCTTGAAGAGGCTAGCAGACTTGGTCAGAACCTGCTGTGGGCATTGCACTAGCTGTTCCTTTTTAAGCGGCATGGTGTGGAGTGGCGGCAGGTGAAGTGCGGCGACCAGCGGTGTGGTGTGGAGCGGCGGCAGGCGAAGCGCGGTGATCAGCGGTGTGGCGTGGAGCGGCGGCAGGCGAAGCGCGGTGATCAGCGGTGTGGCGTGGAGCGGCGGCAGGCGAAGCGCGGTGATCAGCGGTGTGGCGTGGAGCGGCGGCAGGCGAAGCGCGGTGATCAGCGGTGTGGCGTGGAGCGGCGGCAGGCGAAGCGCGGTGATCAGCGGTGTGGCGTGGAGCGGCGGCAGGCGAAGCGCGGTGATCAGCGGTGTGGCGTGGAGCGGCGGCAGGCGAAGCGCGGTGATCAGCGGTGTGGCGTGGAGCGGCGGCAGGCGAAGCGCGGTGATCAGCGGTGTGGCGTGGAGCGGCGGCAGGCGAAGCGCGGTGATCAGCGGTGTGGCGTGGAGCGGCGGCAGGCGAAGCGCGGTGATCAGCGGTGTGGCGTGGAGCGGCGGCAGGCGAAGCGCGGTGATCAGCGGTGTGGCGTGGAGCGGCGGCAGGCGAAGCGCGGTGATCAGCGGTGTGGCGTGGAGCGGCGGCAGGCGAAGCGCGGTGATCAGCGGTGTGGCGTGGAGCGGCGGCAGGCGAAGCGCGGTGATCAGCGGTGTGGCGTGGAGCGGCGGCAGGCGAAGCGCGGTGATCAGCGGTGTGGCGTGGAGCGGCGGCAGGCGAAGCGCGGTGATCAGCGGTGTGGCGTGGAGCGGCGGCAGGCGAAGCGCGGTGATCAGCGGTGTGGCGTGGAGCGGCGGCAGGCGAAGCGCGGTGATCAGCGGTGTGGCGTGGAGCGGCGGCAGGCGAAGCGCGGTGATCAGCGGTGTGGCGTGAGCGGCGGCAGCAGATGAGGAGCAGCAGCAGGCACCCAGTGGAGCGTCCAGTGGCATGGGATGAGACAGCTGGTGGAGCGTGGCGGAGTTTCGTATAAGGTGCCCCCTATCTATCCCCTACCCCCATTTTTACCTAGGTTGGGAGGTGAAACCCTGCGGGTGAACTTTGGGACTCTGGGTGACACGGACCAGGGACAGAGACTTTTGGGGTGTCGGACTCTTTGGACTTTGGGCAATTCTTGGCTGAGGGGGGTGCTTGGCTCATGTTTGGGTTGCGAACTCTGTTTGTGGTGTTTTCCCCAAGTTAATGCCGTATGACTTCTCTCTCTGGTTCATGAAATGTTTCTCTCCTACCCTCAGACTCAGTGCTTGTGAGTGGGGCAGCATTGCCTCTCAGAGGCACCCAGGGGTGTGTGAATTTCCCAGATTACTGGGTGGGGGCTCGAGCCGGTTCTATGTGAGATGCACCCCAAGATATTGAACCCAGCCCTGGTTACTGCCAGGCCTACCCGGCAGAAGGGTTACACACGTTTCACATATAAATATAAAATGTTTGTTAAAAAAAAACTTAGCCAATAGCCCGTCATAAGACGGGATTTTCAGGTCTCTCCTCCATGTCTGTCTCTCTCTCTCCTCCTCCTACTGTCTCTCCCCTCTCTCTCAGCTCTCCTGCGCCTCCTGCCTCTCTCTCCATCTCTCTTTCTCTTCTCCTCCCCCTCCTGCCTCTCACTCGCGGAGCAAACGGCCGCTCGCACTGCTTGCTCCCGCGGCGGCCCGGCTGAGCGGCGCAGAACTCAGCCGAGCGCCACAGTGGGAGGCGAAGGGGGGAGGGGAATGACGTACACGGCCAGGGGGTGGGACCTGGTGCCTCTGTCACGCCCTTCACCTCCCGCGGTGGCGCTCGGCTGAGTTCTGTGCCGCTCAGCCAGGTCGCCGTGCAGGAGCAAGCAGCACAAGCGGCCGTTTCGGCCTCACGCTGCACCCTCGTGCTGCACAGGGAGCGCGGGGCCCCAATGGCCGCTTGCGCTGCCTGCTGCTCCCGCGCGCCCCCGATTAGCTGGAACCTCTGGACTCAGGCCCGATGGGCCCATTGGCTAATCTGCCATTGTGCCGCTGCCCAGCTCTTTTCATGCCTGTGCAGACCCTAAACTCCCGGTGCCGGCCAAGTCTGGGACAGATGTGACAGGCTGGTTGCTCTGGAATAGGGCCACGCCCATTTGCCTGGCTGGTATAAAGATAGAATCAAAACGCGATTAGCTGGAACCTCTGGACTCAGGCCCGATGGGCCCATTGGCTAATCTGCCATTGTGCCGCTGCCCAGCTCTTTTCATGCCTGTGCAGACCCTAAACTCCCGGTGCCGGCCAAGTCTGGGACAGATGTGACAGGCTGGTTGCTCTGGAATAGGGCCACGCCCATTTGCCTGGCTGGTATAAAGATAGAATCAAAACGCTTGCGATCAAAGAACCTTTGAAGGAGTGACCCAGATTTTGGAAAAAGGCAGAAACTGCCCCCTCCCCCAGCCTCTGGCCTGGCCCGGAGCCCCAATGGTCAGTGAAGAGAAAGAGCCGAGCTATAAAAATCTAGTTTATTCACAGTAGCATCACCACACAGACACACCTTTGAGCTTTGGCAGCATCTTGCTATGTACATGAATCACGCTTCCCTCCCCCACCCTGCATCGGCCATTTGAATGAGGAACGTTTTATAGAGTTAGGAGTGAGAATTTCAACTGGGTCACCAAAAGCCAGCTCATTAGGGAAAAGAGCCGAGCTATAAAAATCTAGTTTATTCACAGTAGCATCACCACACAGACACACCTTTGAGCTTTGGCAGCATCTTGCTATGTACATGAATCACGCTTCCCTCCCCCACCCTGCATCGGCCATTTGAATGAGGAACGTTTTATAGAGTTAGGAGTGAGAATTTCAACTGGGTCACCAAAAGCCAGCTCATTAGGGAAAGGCCTTGTGGCCTGGGCATGCTGTCCATGGCGGGGGG